CTCTATGGCGTCATCTACTCCTGATTTCAATCACACTTTAGACGCAGAAGGTTCCCAAATTGCTATTGTGTAGCCTCACCTGGTCAACCATACTCCCTACCCACATTTACAGCTACCTACCTTACTAGATTTCTCAGATAAGGTATCTGGCCAACACATCAAGCTTAAGGTTCCCCAGAACAAAGCCGACTTGCCATTTAACTTGCTGCTCTCCATCTCTGCCAATGGCACTGGACTCACCCTTCCCCGTCACCAGATCTCACAAGCTCAAGTAACCTCATTCTCCTTGCCACCTCAGGGGGCCTCATCCTGCCCCCATGCACCCCGAATTCAGGCATTTAGAAACACTAGGGATTATACCTCTGCAATGTTTTTTCTATCTTTTGCCTCTTTTCCATTAATTTGACTTCTCCCCAAACAGCACATGGTAAAGTGGGCCGAAATCAGGTTCAGAGCACAGCACCATAAGCTGGGTGGCTTTGCGTGAGTCCCTAACCCTCTGGGCCTCATTTCCTCATCAGTAACACTGGAGTGATGGACAGTTTCCACCTCTCAAGGCCGTCATGAGGATTAAAATGAGACGATACATGGAGAGTGACCGACACACAGTAAGTACTCAATAAATATTAGCAGCATTTCCGCGCAGCTGCTTCAAGCTCTCACCATCTCTTGCCCAGACTCCTGCAAGAACTTCCCAAACAGGCCTCTCTGCAATCAGTCTCTCTTAACCAGAGTGCTGTCCGCTGACAGCACATCCTTCACACGCGCGTGAGAGTCAGGTGTGAGACGGGATTTTGAGAAAACGTGTTGGGATATGTAAAGAAATGAAATAAGGGGTATTTAAAATAGCAGATGATTTTATATTCTGCTCTGTGTTTTGTAGTTTGTCTCAAACTACACTGTATGAAAGGGAGAATGACAGTTGATAAAGCTGAGATGATAAAGTGACGCTAGGAATTGGGCCTTAAGCTCCATGTTACGAACTCCAAGTGCTGGGAGTTCCCTGGCGGTCCAGGGGTTAGGACTCGGTGCTCTCACTGCCATGGCCTGACTGGGGAACTGAGATCCTGCAAGCCTCACAGAGCTGCCTCCAAATGCAAGAATTTAGTAAGGATGAAGGGCCATAAAAGGGTCTCTGCACCCACCATTTTCCCCAAAGCACTGAAAGCAAATCACTGTTGAATGGGTTCAGCTGTTCACATACAGCAGCCACAGCACAGTCTAACTTCCCCCTCTTCCGCAATTGGCTTAAAGTGTCTGTCTGGTTTTTACAGATTAGAATTCACCTAAACAAATTTATTCTTCATTTGACCAAAACCGTACCCGCAATTCTTCCACAAAATAAACTAGGAAGATTTGAGTTGTGTGGGACATTTTTAGTGTAAAGAAAAAGAACATGATTCCAAGCTCTGATAGAAGACTTCACATTAAGTAAACACTCTATTTGCTTTCTAGGTATTACAAGGCTAGCGCTTTATTTACTTTTTATAGTTCAGTAACTTCACTCTGTGCCCAGAATTGATTTCTAGCTATCATTTTAAATGAATTTTCCAACATAGGGCTTAAAATTGACTTCTTTTTAATATGTCAAAAGTTAGAAACTTTCTCACAGAAAAAGACTAAATTGGTGCCTGAAGAGCGGGCATGTCATCATTAAAGAAGGGATTTTAGTCAATCATAACTTAAATTTGGGCTAATGTTTTGAATGATTAACTGAATACCATTAGCAATACCTCTGAAATATGTTGTCTACTAACATCTGCCGTATAACAGTGTCTGCGGCAAAACGCAGAAAATTTACATCCAAAGAAATGAAACATTACACTTTTTCAACTCACTCCATATAAATTTATACTTTGAAAGACTGTTGATTAAAGAATAAACAAAATGTACAAAGATAACATTCTTAATAATATAATTTCTTGTTACTAAGGGACTCTTAAGGTCTTCTAAGCTTGACTTTCATTCCATTTTGAATATGACTTTCATCCACTCTGTTGCCAGGACAACTGCAAGTACCAACAACGTTCATCTAAGCCATCTGAGAGTGTGTTAAGATCTGCCCATCCTTTAGAGAAAATAAATCAGTAAGACTTCTAACGCGTGCTGTATGCCCATTCTGCACACTGGCAGATGAGAGGCTTACTCTGCAGAGCAGGGTAAACAGCGCAGAATTAAGAGACAGAAAGACCTGCCCTGGCCCGCAGGATTCACCCCTCGCCAGATGTTTAACCTTTGAGCAAATTCATCTGAGCTCCTTCCCTCACCTGCAAAATGAGGACAATATCTTTCTAGAGGGATGCTGTGGGAATAAACGAAGCAATGTGTTTGAGGTATCGGGCATACGAGAAGCACGCCTGCCCTCACCAACGCCATACCCTTTAGGCAGACAATCAAATCAAAGCTCATGTCTGCCCGAACTAAAACTGTGACCATGGGGAAGTTGTTTGACCTCTCTCTGCACTGGCGTCCTCTCTTTTTTAAGTGGGGAGTACGCTACCTACAGCACAGAGCTGCTGTAAGCCCCGAACATACAACATAACGCAAAGCATCTAGCGCGGTGCCCAGGCACAGCCCACGTTCCACAGACATTCTGCTCCTTCCTCTTCTCTTGTTCACCAAGTGTGTTCAACACTTGGTTCTCAAGTGGTCCAGGATCTAGTAAACTTGCCTGACAGGCATCCAGAGAGTAGGCCGTTTTCTGGTGAGGAACCCTTGTGAATCCAGGGCAACACTGTGACATCTGTACTACAAGTTTCCTCTCAGTTTCAGAAGGAAAGAAAATATTTTTGCTATGCCCTCTGCCTTCCATTTTGTACACACTGCTTTTCCACAGAGGTCACTATATCAATGTTACTCTTTCCATCTTTTCTAAATACCTAAATAGGGACTTCCCTGGCAGTCCACTGGTTAAGACTTCGCCTTCCAATGCAGGGGGTGCGGGTTCGAGCCCTGGTCGGGGAGCTGAGATCCCACATGCCTCCCAGCCAGAAAACCAAAAACATAAAACAGAAGCAATATTGTAACAAATTCAATAAAGACTTTAAAAAATGGTCCACATCAAAAAGAAATCTTTAAAAAAAAACCAAAACTTAAATAGCTTTCATTTCTCTTCTAAACGGATATTCGCTTCAGTATGCTGCTTAAGTTAAAACCAAAACACATCAATTATTTTCACCGCCGATATCAGTGGTTCCAGAAAACAAAAATATACTAACACTTTGAGTTTCCTCCGAGGCGTTACTCTACACATTTAGTTCCAAAGAAATCTTTAAAATCTAAATTATTTCAAAATAAATTTTTTATTATATTTACTCCTGATGCTAGTTTTAAAACCTTTAACATCGGGACTTCCCTGGTGGCACAGTGGTTAAGAATCCGCCTGCCAATGCAGGGGACACGGGTTTGATCCCCGGTCCAGGAAGATCCCACATGCTGCGGGGCAACTAAGCCCACGCGCCACAACTACTGAGCCCACGTGCCACAACTACTGAAGCCCGTGCACCTAGAGCCCATGCTCCGCAACAAATACAAGCCACCGCAATGAGAAGCCCGCGCACCGCAACGAAGAGTAGCCCCCCCCCACCGCAGCTAGAGAAAACCCCGCACGCGGCAGCGAAGACCCAACGCAGCCAAAAATAAATAAATAAAACCTTTAACATCTTTCTACTTCAATATCAAAGCATGATAATTCAAATAAAACAAAAGCTGTCATAAGCACAAAATCACTGTAACGTGAAGTTTCCCTGAAGACTAATTCAGTTTTCTAAACACTGAGATTCATTTGCTAGTTAACTAAATATGCAGCCCTGATAGTCACCTGTGTATGTATCCAGCTGGGTATGTTTAAACAGTAAGAATGAATTAAAACATTTACCCACAAATTTTCACGGTCCTAAAATCGGAAATAAGCCATCCTCTTCCCCTCAAAACAAAACAAAACAAACCCCTGTATTTAACATCTGGAGAAAAGTCTGTAAATACTAAGAAACTTCTCAATAAATATTTTACACATCCAATATTTATTAACTAGGCCACAGAAATCTTACAAAATAACTCAAAGTTATCAGATTAAATTACCTTCCAGGAGCATCTCCACATGAGAAGGTAATGCTTTCAGAGCTCCACAACATGGGCTCCTAAAGCAACAGCTAAGGAATTACAAGAGGAGGCCCTTTTCCTGTCATTTTGCAAAGACTGGGTAAAGGTGGGAGTGTCTGACGCCTACTGTCCTATACAATTTGTGTCAACAGCACATGCCCTCAAAAAACTTTTCTATTAAAAAAAAAAAAAATCCCACAGTAGGGAGTTGTTGTTTTTCTTAATTTATGAAGCCAAAATGTTTGGGAAAAGGAATGTGTCTGAACACGAAGTAAAAATAGGACGTGACACTCAGCAAGCTAAATATCGGGTTTAAATAGCTGGTTTAATAGAGCCTGAAACGTGTACGGGAGGACACGGGCTTCAAAAATGACGACAAAAATTAATACTGCGCTCCGACAGAGGCCACGGTACAGTCCACGGATCCTGAATCGCAGCCATGGTTACAAATGTCAAAATCAATGTAGTCTGTGTGCCATCCACCTCCTTCCAATAATAACGAAACCAACTCAGATTTCTCGGTGGTGTAATCACAACTATGACTGTGGGGGAAATGAATGCAGCACAATGAGAAAAATACCACAAATTAAAACCACCCCATGTAAAAACATGACAAAATTGGTCACTGGGAGGGGGGGAAAAAAAACACACCCACTTTTGCTATCCACTAAAAGAAATCTGGCCGCATCCCACCTGCCCAAATCAAGGGCTCCTGATTGAAGAGCAAACCTGCGTTATCCCCCCTCCTTTCTTCTCCCTTCGCGTCCCCGAGCCTGTGCGCGGAGACACGCGCGAAGGGGACCAGAGGATGGGAAACAAAACGGGGACGCGCGCAGCCTGCGGGGACGGAGGGATGGAGGGATGGAGGGATGGAGGGATGGGGGGCGGGCACCACGTACCTGTCCCGAAGGCCTTGGCCACCAGCCAGGCCAGATTGCAGGCGATTTTGGCCCTGGAGAAGTCGTAGTGGTCGAAGGGCTTGATGGCTGGAACAATGAACGTCCTCCTCCCGTCCCGGGGGTCCGCAGCATCCCCCATCTTCACGCGCTCGGGGCGCTGGCCCGCCCTTCACATGGTGCTGCCGACCGCGGGGTAGGCGCTGGGGGGTGGGGGTC